GGTTGAGTGAAATAAAAAATGTGGTTCTGTTGATTTTGCTGGTGTAATGAATTATGCAGAAGTTGATTGTATAAAGACTTGAATGGAAAATTTGCAAGTAGTATGCATATTTTATATTATGAATTATGCAGAAGTTTATTGTATAAAGATTTGCTGTGTAATGAATTATGCAAACTTTGATTGTATAAAAAATGTGGTTCTGTTGAGATTTGCTGCTGTTGAGATTTGAATGGAAACAATGTATAAAGACTAAACTGAGAATGGATTTATAAGTGCAGATTAAGCAGTTAAGCAACACATGACCCGCAAATGGACAAAGCAAACAGAACAAACATACCATTGTTGACAAAAACCAGAAAGTGTATCAGCAGATAGATGGTTTGGACCAATATTTAAAAATTGCAGCATTCAATACAGTCATGACAGTGAAGACAGATAGTAACCAAACTGACATAATCTTCCATTCATTTCACAACAATGACAACAATGAAAAATAGTAATTACATAAGAGATATAGTAATCCAAAAAATATATTCCATTCATATCATCACTTTGTACTTACAATTCCAGCTGACATAATAAACCATTAAGTAGGAACACTTTGTCTTCCCAAAAAACAAAGTGTTCATACTTAATATGGCCATAACCAGAGGCATACAAAAAAAGCCATTGGTGAATCATTTGAACAGGGCCAAAACCAAACTAATACCAAAAAGATGGCCTAATTACAATTCCAAGCTACTGGCCTAATAACAAAAAAATGCCAACTGTCACATTTGAACTGGCCTAACATCAGTGATTACAATTCGAAATCAGTTATGTGGGGCTGGCCTAGGTGGCCTGAATCCTGGTGTAGACATGAAGCTCATGAATCTGGCTCTGGTGCCACTGCCAGCTGCAGCTGCTGTCTCACTGGTCACTACCTCAGCAGGAGTGCATGGAGGTGGGCTGCTACCTCTTGAAGCTCTTGGTTCAACTGTAGTTGTTGCATGCTGGCTACTTGTCTCTGGTGCAGGGCAGCCCTGACTTATGCTAATGATGATTTCTTCAACTTTCCTTGACTGGCCTACTTCAACATTAATCGGTTTTGTCTTTGACTTTGAGCCACCAGTAGGTCCCTTACATGTCTTCGGGTAATGACCAGTCTCACCACACTTGGAGCATTGAACTGTGTAAGTTTTTCAAAGCTTGTTGTTGGTCTTCATAAGCTCTTCAGTGGGATCCTTCTTGCGATGCTTTTTTGGACGTCCAATAGGCCTTTTCAAGCGTGGAGGAAGTGGTTTTGGGGCATCACAAGCTGGCCAATATTGTTGGGAATTGACTGGGTTAAGTGTGTGTTCATAAGTGGCATGCAAAGCATCCACTGTCAGCCATTGGTGAACATGATTTTCCACAGGTTCATTCTTGTGTGCAATGGCAACAATGGCATGTTCACAAGGCAATCCAGTCAACTGCCAAACATTACAGCTACAAGATTGTTGAGTTAAATTCACCCCAACACGTTGACCCTTTCCAGATACTTCATACAGTTCTTGGACCAAGTTTCCAGTCCATGTTGGTGTCCAAGAATTGTTTGCAACCTTCAACTGGTCCAGCCTCTTCTGTTGTGCAGGTGCAATCTTACCCCTAAAGGTTTGTAGAATCCTCTTGTGTGCTGTCATCCTTCGCATTATGTAGCACCTCAATTCCTCACATAATGTCATTATAGGTTTGGACCTATAATTTACAATCTTTGCATTCCACACCTCAGCCATATTATTCGTTATATTGTCACATTTAGGCCAGTGACTGTAGTAGGCCTTAACCCAACATGAAAGGTGTATATTGTCAAGATACTTCCAAGCTGGTTCGTTTAGAGTCTTCAGCTTTAGCATGACCTTCTCAAATTGGGGAACAGTGGTGCATCTAGCACATTCCCACACAATGCCTCTTGTCTCTTTATCCTTCCATTGCTTGATGAAGTTCTTCCATACATGTTATACACAGAACCTGTGGTGTGAACCTGGCATAATTTCCTTCAAGGCTAGGACAAGTCCCTGTGTGTGAAGGTGAAACAAAAAGTTAAAACACAATCTCATATGAACATAATGTGAAATAAATATCAGCATGACTAATATCAGCATGTACAAGGGGACATGACATTGCTGGTGTGGTAAGTGCCCATGGTGGCACTGGTGTTAACAGAACTGTAGTAGGGACCAATAAGGACCCCGATAAAATTGTGAGGGACCAAAATGGTCCCCTCTGTTAAAAAACAAGGACTGAAATGATCCTCGATAAACATTGTGGAGGACTTGTAAGGGAACTTAAAAAGCAGATGGATGGCAATTGCAGTTAAGCAACACATGACCCGTAAATGGACAAAGCAAACAGAACAAACATACCATTGTTGACAAAAACCAGAAAGTGTATAAGTAGATACATAGTTTGGAGCAACAGACAAACATTCCATTCATATCATCACTTATACATTTTCTAGTTTTTGTCATTGCGGTCATTGCTGTGAAATGAATGGAAGCACAAGCATAAGGTCAAAAAAGTAAAAAAGGTTGTTGTAATAAGCACAAGCAAAAAAGCCTTACCTTTTGTTGATCTGATATGAAGTTCCAACCAAATACTCCATGATCCCCTAAATCTTCCTGTAATAAGGTCAAAAACCACTTCCAATTATTCTTTGTCTCACTATCAACCACGACATAGGCAATCACATAAAATTTCTTGTTTGCATCTTCAGCGACAACACTCAATAATTGACATCCATAATAGCCCTTCAAAAAGCAACCATCCAACCCAATTAAGGGCCTGCATCCAGCTTTGAAGCCCTTCTTACAAGCATCAAGGCAGATGTACATTCGGTCAAATATTGGCAATGCTTGTGGAATAGGTTAGGGGGTGGCTTGCAATTTGCAACTGGAGCCAGGGTTGCTCCTCAACAGCTCAGCCAGATATTCTCTTAGTCTTCTATATTGTTCCTTCTCACAACCTTCAATGGTTCTCTTTGCTTTTTTCAAATCCTTGCTTACTTTCTTCATATCCAAATGAACATTGTATTCCTCCTTCATGTGCTCAAATGCCTCTGTCCTGGTCATCTTGGGCTGTGTTAGTATTCTCTTCTCCAATTTCTTGGCAACCCAATCTCGTGTAGCCCTTTTATTCTTGAAGACTCTGCAGCATGTATGAGTGTCGTTAAAAGTCTTAACTTGGAATGTGCTTTGCTTGGTGTTCCAGGCACAATACACCATCCATTCACAGTCTTCTACACTGCATTTGGCCCTTACTCTGACCTTGTCATTCTTAACCCAGATGAAGTTTATCCCAAGACTGATATTATAATCTTTTACTGCACACTTAAATTGGTTCAGATTCATAAACTCCATACCAAGTTCTAAATATACATGCCGAAAAGAAGCTTGTTCATTAAACTTAGGCAAAACAGGTGTAGCATTTTCATCATCATCACTTGAAGGAGGAGTCCTCAACTCCTCAGACAAATAGGTATATCCTTCTTCCTCAAATGACATTATGTCTTCCTCTTCATCAACTTCTTCAGATTCAGAGTCTTGAATTGGGGCATCCTTCTTGACTGCCTTCCTCCTTGGGGTCTATTTTGCAGACCTTTTTTTCTCTACCAATGGTCAATGTGAATCATCCTCAACACCAAGTGGGGGAGGCTTGTAAACCTCATCCTATGCACTCTCATATGAATCTGAGTGTGAGGAAGTATGGTCATCATCTGCACTATCATCTTCAGAACCATTACCAGCATCCTCTGCACTTTCTTCATCATGGTCCGAATTGATCCCATCATCATGTAAATTCAAGCCATCAGCAGCCTGTGCATTGTATTCATTTTCTTTGTTCCCATCATCATGTAAATTCAAGTCATCAGCAGCCTGTGCATGGTCTTCATTTTCTTTGACCCCATCATCACCTTGTGCACACCCTTCATGTGAATTGACCCCATCATCAACCTCTTCATGGTCCTCATTATGTGCTGAATTAATGATATTATCCTCTTCACTATCATGTTGAGGTGAAGCAAACTCGGGAATTGAGATACAGTCCTCAAAGTAGACATGTATCTCATTGCCATTCCCTAAAGCAGCCTCACACATGGCACACACATCCGAATCTTTACTAACAGGTCTGAGCCCTTGTTCCAAATCGGGTACCCCAGGCTGTAGCCACATCATCCTCTTGCATTTTTCATATCCATATTGCTTAAACAGGGTGTCAAGGTCACATATATTGCAGTAGTCAATGTCCATCTCTGGCAATGAGTCCACCCTTCCATTTATATAGGTCATCACTCCATCTTCATCTTTGACTAAAATACCACCATGATGATAAACAATCACTATGTATTCAGACATCTTTCAAAACCAAAAAAACAAACCTATCATTAATCCCACGGCCACAAACTTTAGACCACTTAAACAATACAAAGCAATACCCTAAACCAACATTTTTTATGGATGCTAACTTTTTTTCCATATATTACCATGGGGTTTTTAATTGATACTGGGTCAACCATGGCCCCTTTTTCTAAAACAGGGACCACACCACCCGATAGTTACAATCTTTAACACAAAACCCTAAATGGAAACATGGACCACAATGTCCACTTCGCATGCAGAAAAAAACAAGCATTAAACAAAGGGGAACAACATGGGGACCACAAGCAAAAGGATGACAAAGAACAATATAAAAATGTTTCAACATATAAATACTCTTACCTTTTTGTTCGGAAGGCTCAGCCTCACAAAAAACCCAAGTTCTCTTTGTCTTCCACTGGTTCCCTCCGATTATTGAAGAAGTTCGTAGTATTCCAAATGCAGGCGAGTGTTTACTCCATGGCTTCTTCCTTCCTTCTCAACAATGGAGCTTCGAAGTTAGAAGAGAGGGAAATGGTAAAGTGTCCAGCGGTTAGGTGAGGGGCAATTTTGGGTTTAATAAAAAATGGTCTGTCCAAGGTGTATGAGACTCTCAAAACGACGTCGTTCCTCAACCCACGTGGCCTTCAGCATGTCACTTAACGTGACACATCATCACCGTCATTGACACCGTCAGTTTTGGATTGACAGAAGGACTAACTTGGGTCCTGTTTCACTTTGTTGGGGACTAATTCTCGAGTTTATTTTTGTGAGGGACTATTTTGGGCACCGAGTTTTTTGTCAGGGACCAATTTGGGTCTTTACTAAAAAATAAATGAAGATTTACAAAATGAATTGGACCAGTGTAGAAAATAAACTCATTTAGGGGGGTGTATTGGATTAGAATTTTAAAAGACTTTTTTGAGCTAAAAAATCTTAAAGATTTTAAAAGACTATTTAGAATGGAAGAGGCTTTAAAGACTTTTTTAAAAGACTTTTTTTACAATCAAGATTTCATAAGATTGGATTTTAAAAGATTTTAATAGAATTTATAAGATTTGAAAGGACAATATGGATTTATAAGATTTTAAAAAATCATATGAATTTTTAACAAACATTCAAAATTACAAGAGTCAATAAAAAAGGAAAAGGTTATACTTACAACCTATTTTTGTTTACAACATTTTAAACCATATCTTAACCGCTGATTTTCATCAATCAACGGTTATCATTCATTGCAAATTAAATATTAATTAATGAGTTTGATTTGCGAAAATAGTAATCATTGATAGACGGAAATCAACGGTTAAGATATGATTGTAAAAGGTTGTAAACAAAAATAGGTTGTAAGTATAATCTTCCCCATAAAAAAATAACAAAGAAATGCAATGAAATTAATAAAAAAAAAGTAAAACCTAATATAATTTTCTCAATCTGTAAAACATAATAAAATTTTTAACAAACATTCAAAATTTCTAAACAACAGCTTTTCACATATCTAATGGGTTGAAAATTATCTTCTTCATTTTGTATCAAAGCTATGCATATATGAGATTATAAGACCCAATTTGTTTTAATTATAAAAATAACTCTAAATTTGCATATAGAACCTAAAGTTCATGATAAAATTTTGTTTGGAATTTTTCGCAATTGACCTTGAAAACCTTGAGATTTTTGTTTTATGTGACGAGAGTTTTCTAACCATACATCATATGCATATTTTCATTGAATATTCTAAAAAAAATTTGAATCTGAAATTTTGGGTTTAATTACATGAAAGTTTAGAAAATTTCTCAATTTTTTTTCAATCGATACATTGAAACCTTAAATTGCTTTGGGGCTTTTGAGAAACAAGATTTTAGTTATCTATTGACACAAAAGTTGTTTGAAATCGTTTCCTATAGTGAAAGAATTTCGTTCATAAATGTATTGTTACGAAATATAGGGTTCATATTATAAAAGTTTCAATCTTTTTTAAATTGATATTGTTTCATTGATGTAAAACGAAAATTGGTTTGAGGGTTTTAATTCCCCTGTTATTTTTTCACTGTTTTATATTTTTTTTAATACAAAAATCACACGCTTTTGTGCCAAGAAAAATTGCGAACCATAGCTTGAAAAATTACTTTTTAAACTTCAAAATTTCTCAAAAATGGCTCAAAATATGTTATTTTTGAGATAGATTATATTAAAATCACGTTGGTTTGTTATTTTTGAGTTATTTTGTGACGAAAATCGCTCAAAAATATGCTCTCTTTTTTTAGTTTTGACGAAGCTCCCATGGCGAAACCCAATTTCGAGCAATCAATTTACCAAAGGAAGAAGAAAACACTGCAATAGAAGAATCTCAAGAAATCCTAAGGTTTAGGATGAGATTATGAGAGAGGCATCCTATTTATATTTTTCACTATAAAGTCTCACGAAATCCACACCCATAGAAAATCCATTAAAATCGTCAGATTTTTGAATACCACGAGATTGTGATTCCATTGTTTAAAATCTTGATTCAATACCAACGGATTTGGACGGATTCTAAAATAATCATTTAAAATCCTAATCGAATACCAACGCATTTTTTGTCCAAAAACAAACCATTAAAATCCTTTGAAATAACAATCCAATAACCCCCTGTAGGCTTTGTTTGGGAGTTGGTTTTAGGAGGAGAAAGATAAGAAAGAAAAGATTTTAATAAGCCCTTTCCTTGTTTGTGAGTTTAAAAGAATGAGGGGAAGAAATTGAGGGTTTTTACTAAACCCTCAAAAACCATCATTCTTTTTAAAATTAAAGCTCCCCTAATTTGGGGGGTTTGAGGGGAGAAATCATAGTTGTAAAACCCGGCCCGACCCAGTCGGGACGACCCGAAACCCGGTGAACCGGTCATCGAACCGGTTCGGGTCAAGCATTGGACTAGTCATGTGTAACACCTTGTGTGCACCTGGCGTATTAAACATACATATGGTAATGGCGCAGCTAAATAAATGCGGAATCTAACTTTTTCTTTGCAATTAAGCCGTCATCATTACTAACCGAGTTGATTACTTAATCCATTTTCAAAATAATGCCTGTATGTAAATTACAATAAATAAATAACTGAATAACCTCATATATAGATGTGTATCTAGTCACAGAGCTACAACACGTAGACCAGACAATAATCTTTTTACATTATACGACTCACGTCTAAATAAACATAGTCATAACAATGTGGCATGGACAACCCCCATACTCAGCAAATAAGGCAACAAAGCCAAACCAAGTCTCAACTCAAATAACATAATAACAAAAATAAAGCATAATCACTAATCAAGCATATCAATAGTCAACATGCATAATCAACTCAGCTCCGGCCTCTTGCCGCCAGAGGTATCAAACCCTGAGGTACCTGTACCTGAAATGTGCCCCAACACGGGGAGAGATATCTAAAAATATATCTTAGTAAGACAAGGGGTCTTCAAGGATCTCTCTACCCAAAGCTCACT